AGTCAGTTCAGATAGGTCAGCAGACGTGACAACTTGAAAACTCACAAAGAAGTAATTACAATGCTTAAGAGAAAAAGTAAAGAAGTAGGAAAGTTAAGAAGTGAGAAAGTAAAATGGGAAGGTGTAGAAATGGGGGAGAATTAATACAAACGTAAAGAATAGGAATCAAACCTGTTGATTGGAATTCAATAAGCATTATAATATAGCGGGTAAATTTGTCTAATCAAATTCAATTGAGTGAGCGTGCTTCATATTCCTGTTGTGCACGCTCATGACGTCAGCAATCAAATCCCTCGAGAAAAAAATCTTTACAACATGTAGGCCCCATCCACACGTATCCGTATTTATCCACGTCCACACGTTGCCGTTTGTGAATCGTTTTTGGTGTCCACACGTAAACGCAAAAACGATTTGAAAAAGATGACGTCGCCTACTGAGCATGCTCTTTAGAGCAAAACATGTGCCCGCAGTCTCGCGTATCCTGAGCCTGAATCCTCTTGGCTGTGCTCTTGGGCTTCTCAAACTTATCAACAGTGTTCGCATGGCTAGAAATCCGTGACAGCATGGCCGCCACGCACGCGCATCGATTTCGAACTCGGTCTTAGGTTACAAACGAGTCGCAAAATCACTACAAGGAAAACAGTGCACTTTCAGCTAACCTTCTTTTAATAATTGCTCCTGTGTTACAACCGAAACTAGAGCTTGTTTATTCGCCATGTTTTAATTAATGGTCGATCGGCCGCACGCTGACTTATGAACCAATTGTTAAATATTTATTTATTATCTTTCGGATGCTCTTGGAACCGTGTCAAAGAGAAAGCCGGAGTATTCTTTGTAAATTTCCGTTTAGAAATCAATTTGGCAGTTATGTTATTGTTTTCGTAGATACTTTTTATCATAAGACGGGAGGAAAGAGCTTTCATCGGCGTAAAAGGCTAGTTTTTTCAAGAACAGCAGCACAAACAAGTCCTTGCTTCGATCTTAGTTATAAGTTGTTCCAAAAAAGGATGTCTTAAAACACAGTTCTTCGCTGTCTGCGCGAAGCTTACATTTACAAAAGTAATGCTTACAAGAGTTACCGTCGTTTTAAACAAACTAGAGTCCGCGCTTTTTTTCTTTTGAGATTATCTAAAACGTTTTCTCAAATCTTCGCCCTTGAGGTTTTTCCTTTCTTATTCCCGAAGGAAGTTAAATTTAGAGCTCTTAATGGCATTTGAAATTTTGCGTGGCCATACGCACTCTGTATTTTTTCAATAAGCCTTTAATCTATCCGTTGCACTTTGCAATAAAGTTGTACCTGTCGCTCTTTGCAATAAGATTGTCAAAATTTTGTAATAACACTTGTCACACCTTGTACCAACGGCAAGCCTAATCTGCACTTTTCTCATCAGACACTAATGGCCCCGTATCTTGTGTTAAACTCAGCCAGTTTGATATACAGAATTGGCAGCATGAAAAGCCTTTCTGTTATCTCAATGGGCTTTACAATCAACAGTACATCTTAAGTCAGAATAAACGAACAAAAAGCCCTTCTCTCGCTAATTTGTCGGAAGGAGATCCTCAATTTTAGGGCATTTTGATCTCCAAAACAAAGCGCGCTATCAACATAAAAATATTCTTGGAATATGTGCATAGAAAATTGGATGATTTCATGACAGAGCAATCCAGTTATCTGATCAGCCAATGAGACTTCAATGAAGAAGTTCGTAGGCCGATTGTCAATTGTACCTACACGTTTCAAGACAGTTCAAGGTCATCTCTTCTTTCACGTTTATAATAATGAATTTTTTATATTGTTAATGTGTTAAAATTAAAAAAAGCACAATATGCAAAATTGAAATAAATAGTTTTTTAAAAACAGCAATCACAAATTTGATGCGACTATTTCAGAAGGCCCCGCGTGAACTCTTCTCAGGGATGACTTCTTAATTCGTCAATTTTATCTTGAAACGACTCGTTTGAAAACTTTCAACTTTATTTCCCAGCGACAACTAGCTCCAAACTCAACAAGGTTTTTTTTTTTTTTTGCAGTTGAACCAGGTTTAAATATGTCATCCTTGAAACCGACTTCAATTAAGCAACGAGGAAAGACATTGGGAAAAAAAACTGAAAATGTAAAATTTAGAATAGGGCGACGAGAAAAAGAATATGACAACGAATTTGTTTTTTCATCACGATAACATGCATCGATTTACAAATCTAGTGTTCATCCTTCTCGATGGATTGAGTTATTAAAGGAAAGGATCTCAATACGCCATTATTGATACTCATAACTGTTGCTATGCAACGCAAGCAATCCTTTAGGATAGGATTACAAGCAAATAATATAAAACAAATAAAGACAGAATCACAATAGAGGCAGTTAATTTATTCTGCACGTACAGACAGGTGGTGTTTCTTTTTTGACAGCTTTCTTTCAATAACAGCGAGGGTTTATCATTTTTTTTTTCAAAGGGTTTTTTTTCAAAGGGTTTAGCTTTCGTTTGAAATTTGAGTTTAACATAGCTGGAAAACAATTCGTGGAAAATTGTGATTTTTCTTTTACACAATTGTTATCACGGGAAAGTCTGTATGAATTCACCAGCGTTAGTTAATGCCACGAGCGTCCAGAATTCAAATGGCACTGACAAATGGCAGCTGCCCCACTATGTACCTCTCCGCGCCATTCAAGCACCTTCCATTCTTCTCGCTGTTGCGATATTATTTGGCAATGCTCTTGTCATCGCATCCTACAAGATTAACTGGCGACTGAGAACTCGAACAAACGCATTTCTCGTCAGTTTAGCCGTGTCGGATTTCCTGGTTGGAATTATATCGATGCCGATGTGGATCTACAACATCATCATAGTGGATAATGGTTCCGTTCCCTTTAAAGCCATTTTCAAAACTTTCGATGTCTTTTCAGCTCTGGCGTCCATTTACCATTTGACCGCCATAAGTATCGAACGTTACATAGCCGTTTCTCGACCGTTTTATTATAAAAGTTTACCGTCCTTGTTTCAACGGACAATGATAACATCTGCATGGCTTGCCGCCGGCTTATTGGCTTCTCTCTCGTCTTTTACCATGCCATCTGTTCTTAAAATCCCTTGGAACAGTCGAGTATATGCCACTATTATGTTCATCATCGGTTTCGCAATTCCGGCAGCCATTATGTTTTTTATGTACGCGGGCGTTTTTTCAGTAGCGCGCTCACTTCTTCAGCGTAACCCGCACCACTCCCCTGGAGGTCGTCAAAGCACAGGAAGCCTGATGAGCCAATACTATCAGGGGGAGAGAAAAGTGGCTATTACCGTGGCATTCATCACAGGTTTGTTCATCACTACCTGGGTGCCATTTTTTACTGTATCTATCATGGCTGCCTATTGCTTTCACTGTCTTCCTTCGTCGCCGAAAACATTCACATGGCTTGTTGCTATTGTTAAGGGTGCGCACTACCTGAACAGCGGTGTGAACCCACTAGTGTATGCTCAACGGGACAGTGAAATGAGAAGAACATTCCTTACTCTGTTAGGACTTAAGCGCGTCAATCGTCGTTTGAGCGCCAAACAAGAAAAGCCATGGGGAATTAAACAACTGACTGGCCGCACGATACAGTGCTATCATTTAGGTAGTTCTAGTGGTGCGCAGTATCATGTGAGTGGTACAGTTAATGAAATGTTTATTAGAATTCCTGAAAACTGTGTGGGTCACTGTAGACCGATGGTTTCTGAGTAAGCTGCACCCTAGGTCCAGAAGTCCTGTCCAAGCTATTCCATTATGTTCCTAGGTAAGACAGTTTAATTTTACCGTGCCCTCCAAGCCCAAGAGTATAACTGGGTATTCGTAAGCTACTCACTTGGTTAGAACTCAAGGAGGTCAGCCCTCGGTGGAAAAGCATGCCGTTAAGTTTAATTGATGAGCTCCGATAGCATGGACTTGGCTTGTTTACCAATTGCAGTTAGTTTCATCTTACTGTTTGATCAGTAACATGTATTTGAGTGATCTGAAACCTTCCGATGAATAATGCGAGAACTTTGCAAATAAGGCTGTCGAGCTGCACGTACGAAAGCGAAATACTGTCGAACGAAGACCTTCTTATGCATTTTTCATTCTCATACAATATTTATATAGTTTTAAATGGAGGTCCGTGGTTTAATTACTTTTTCTGCGTTATTTGTTCTTAAAATATAAAATTTGTTTTGTATATCCAGCTACAACGGCCAATTTCACCGTTTTCTTTTTAATTATTCCATACTGACGATTTCAACGAACTCCAGAAAATGCTGTTAGTTGTAATCATCTGTGATAACGTTGTATAAGAAAACTGGTCTTCTTTAGTTTATTATAGGATAAAATTAAGCTTCCCTACAAAACAAGCACCCTTCCTGATTTGAAGATATCAGTTTGCGTTCAAAGGAAGTTTTTTTCTGCGTTTGACGGGATTATATACAAGTTCTTTGCTCATAATCGTCACTGAAATAGACTACGCGCCGTCACAATCATTCGTAATTTTCCGCACAACGGTACCGGGGCTTAGAACAATAACATGCTGATAACATAATTGAAAGCGCACCACCCTCAAGAATCTGCTTTACGTAAATTTTTTCTGGTGGGGGACACTCCATTACCAGTGCTTCCCGTCGCGTGGACATGAGCCCGCAGATACCCAGGGAAGATGAGCAGTAAAAATACGTTACGTTAAACGCTTGGAAATTCGCCTCTGCGACCCCTACTGTCTTTGTAAAATCTTAGCCACGCCCCTGCTGTACATGATTATATTGTATTTCCGATAGTATTGGCCGATTAGGCTTCCTTTGCTTTGTCGCCCCGCGGAGAGGTGATGTGGATTACGTTGAAGAAGGGAACGTGCCTCTGAGAAAACGCCCACCTGCATACACAATATGATGGCAGCAGGAATTAAGAGGCCACCGACAAACAACGATGATAATGTAGATCCTGTTAGTTTGCAGTTATCTAGCCTTCATCTATACTTCGTTAAGGTGTCGTTCTCTGTCTGCATGCCAGCATGACTTTTTACGACTCATTTTCAGTAATTTTATAATAAATCCACGCGTTTACACTCGCCAAATTCTCGTTATACGAATTGATGATGGTCCAATGATGACGAGTATTTTTCCATAATTGGAGCGCACCTTTTTTTTTAAATGCATTTTATTTTCTTCATTTTTATAAAAAAAAACTTGATATTTCAGAGGTTTGGGTAACATCATCCCAAAAATAAATTCGAATGATCGCAGTTTCGAAGATCGCGACTTTATCATTTCGTTTCTTCGAATTTCAAGATCAAAAATTGCAAGCATTTAACAATGCTTTCAGGTTTCCAAAGCTGATTAATTAGCAACACATACGAATAAATTTATTTCACTTTCAGAGAGACGTAAAATAATACACTGGCGATCTGGAAAATGCTTCGTTATGAAATTTTGATCATGACGCTGATAAAAAAAATTGATCTTAGGTTTAGATATACCTTTTTGAGAACATTATGCTCTTAGCTTGAGCAGCAATGATTTCCAGATACCTTCGTGAAACGCTGTCAGGTTTTAGGAATATTCCTTTTTTTAACATATTCTTGTAATTGAGAAGAGTAAAATCGCTAATCTTATCATCCAATTGGTTGTTGTTGTTGATTTAAGATTTGACAACGAAGCTCGTTTGTTGGAAATTGCGAGCAATTTCGATCAAACTCTGCTTTAATCACCAAACTATTGTCGTCGTAATTAAAAAAAAAAACCTTCGAACAAACAGGAGCGTTCTTTAAAATGACATTCTGAACAGCTCCACAGGAACAGTTTTCTGAGAATAAGGATCGTCAACTGAATATTCCTCACGATGTAAGTTTGCAATTCTTCATTAATAGCTTATTTGATTCAAACGAAACTAGTAGCATCCTAAAGTTACTTCATTTTCATTATCGACATTGTCTTTCTTCGTGAAATTTTAACTGAGCGAATACTCATTATGTATGATTTTATTTCTTCGATTTTAACCCTACATGAATAAAACACGAGCATCAAACTCTGCAAAAAAATAAATGTATATTTTTGTCTATTTGATGGCGCACAGGGTATAGGTTTCGAGAAACTGCACATATTGAAAGGAACAGTATGCATATGTTATCGAGGTCATCAAAAAACGCCTTTAACTGCGAGAATATTTCAACCTTTAGCTCCTGCATTTTAAAGTAGCCTTACGCCTATCATTTTTTCGATTTTCTAGGCCACACGAACTTGAAATTTTCAATATATATAAAGTTTAGGCAATTCGCATCTTACTATTGATTAATTCTCCCAGTCAGTTACGACCTTTCAAGGGAAATCATTGCGCTTCAATTACTCGTGCACTATTTTGGACTCTATTTTGAAACTCTGTCTTACATGAAATTCACGCTTGAATTTTCAGTGCTGTGTCATCTGTGATGTAGGTACCTCATGCCATGTTCTCTGTTAGACAATGTCTCGGAAACGTTGAGCATTTGGCCATTGGGGAAAGAAGGTGGGAGGGGGTTGGAGTTTTGTCCAAACAAATTGCAAATGGAAAGTTCTAATTGGCTGAGGACACTTGTATGTCAATCAAACGTCTTGGCTTTCTTTGAAGAGCACAATTGATTGAAAAATAGAACGCGAAAAACAATATTTCCAAACCATCAAAAGATTTCAATACTTTGTGATGCCATGCACTTCGAATTCTTTACCGCATTATCGCGCTGAAAAAGCAAAACGTTGAAGCCATTTAGTTCCGGCATTATTTTCTGTGGAGACAATTTCAAAACAAAATGGTAAAATCCGTAGGATCCCGTAATTGAATAAGCTCTCTGCCTGGTCTTTAGGTGCAACTGAAATGAAGCAAATAGATTCCAGGTTTAATCATTGAGCTAAACCATCGGGGGCGTAAGTAGATTATAATGTTAAACCTTTCATGTCTATCAATAAAGGCAGAGATACTAGGAAAATTTCTACAGTCTTTCTAGAGGTTCTTATTCAGCCTTCGTTAATTTTCTATAGTCATCATTACGATATACGATATTACATTTCGTTCCGTTTCTATCATATTTGACATGTTCAAGTTATCTTCTAGGTTCTACAAGTTGCCCCGCGCGGCCTTTTTTTGTAACTTGGTCAATTATCATGGAAAACCAGTCTTGGTTAGCAGAGAATGTGGAAAGCACCTAACAAAATTCCCGTCCTATGGCTAAAGCCCTGTGAATTATCATTTACCTTCATCTTTGTTCAGTTCTTCCTGCTGAAAGGTGAATGGACCGTAGACAACACGATAAAGCTGTGACTCATCCACCGAATCAGAGATTGAACGACGTCTACGCCCCACCGGTGCAACATCAACGGAAGGATCACCTACGCAAGCGGCAGCATCATCTGGACATTCACATTTGGTATTGTCTACATCTGCCAAGCAAATTCTGAAATCGCAGTGGATGTAAACTTCGTCTCCTGCTTCTGCCCCAAAATACCGATAAGTTTTGAGTGAGAATGTTTCATATTTGCTGTCGACGGTACAATTGTATGACAATGTGTCGTCGAGGTCTTGACTGACAGAATCGCTGCCACAACTATGATGAAATGATAAAAAAATCATATAACTAAGTAACGTAAGCAAAATTCCTCTTACTCTTTGAGGTAACAAATTTTATTCTAAATGGACAAGATCCAGGTAAATCCATAGCATCGGCTGTATGTTCTTCACTGAGTTGATACCAGGCATACAGCATACAATTCAAGAATAGCTTCCTACGAAAACTACAATGTTAGGTTATAACAAGAGTTTTGGAAGGCTTGCCATTTATTAGCGAGAAACTTGAAAAAAATTGTGAATGGATTTCTTTATTTAAGGGGAACTTTATTTCTTATAGAAATAAACAGTGTTACTCACTCATGTTTGATCAGTAGTCTGAAATATCTCACAGATACTCTGGCAAAATTATTTTTAATTAAGATAAGTGTCACTCTATCTGGGGTCTACACTGGCGGCCATCTTTTACTTAGATTAAGAACCACAGGGAGTAATAATGATACCAGACAATTCAACACGAACTGGGTTAAACGACGGTTCACACACAGAAGTATTGATTAATTACTGGAATAAACTGAGCTGTGATGCGACTACCTTATAAACCACGGTTAAAATTCGAATTTTGGATGTGGTTCATTTGTACATTTGTATGCATATATGCCACCATATTCAAATCCACATCTTTCTAAATGATTTTCATTTTTAACCTCGTCAAATATTTTTACATTTCCTTTTCTTGAGGTGCTGGACCTCACTGAGGAGCTCTTCGATGAGGTGGGTCCTGCTCTGTCTAAAATTTTATAAAATCAATATTGCTTGTTATTATCATTGTTGTCGTAATTACATATTGGTCATGTTTAGCGGGCAAATTTTTATCACAGAAATTCTTACCCGTTGCTTATAAGAGTAAAGTTAGCACCAGTATCATCTGGATCATTGCTTTCTGATGAATAGCATCGCACAGGGTACAAGTCAAGGTTGGGGGCGCTGCTTTGAGTCTCGAAGTAAGCTTTGAAGAAAATCTCTACATCCAGAGCAACAGGGTTGGAAACCGGCGTAGTATGTGCTTCGTCGCTATACGCCATGAGAGAAAAGGTGAAAACTCCGTCATCTGAAAATTACAAAAGAGACCACAAAAGTGAGTAAGGAAAAG